GTCTTACAAAACAAAAAAGGCAGCAGAAATTTAACACTAAGTATACTTTCCAGTAAAATAGAACGGAGAAGAAAAGAAGGCCAGCTAGTGCAAATTACTATACTGATTCACTAGAAAATTAAGTTATAACTGTACTATATTTAGATATCCCTTCGTACGGCTGCTTCTACTTTTAACTCTATTAACAGATGGAAACGGCTTGTTTTTTTCTCTTATGATGATTTGGTATATTATGAGCAATGAGCACGTCATTTGGCTAAGACAAATGTTTAATCTGTCATACGTGTTTTTTTTTCACTTGATTCTTCTTTGTGTACGATATCTAATATATATATATATATATATACGGACATGATTAGTCGTCATTTAGTTACCCGGATCAAAAAGTTCAGTTTGTACACTGCTCTTTCCAGTTAAAACACGAGATGTAAACGATATACACTTTTATCAACCTGAATGTATCTCTTTCTTTCGTAGAACTAATGTGTATGCCAAATAAATTCATAAGTGTTTGCTTTTATTTATTGTGATTTCAGTTGACCAGATTGTATGTCTCCTATTTGTTATTCAAGTCTTTAATGAATCATACTTGATTTATACTTATATATTCATTTATTTTTGCAAAAGAAAACTTGTTATATATGAACAAATTGTTACATTTCTATTGTTATAACCTGACACAATGGTATCAAGACAAAACGAGATTCCACAAGTCATTAATCAACTTACAAAACTTGTTCAAGAAAAAGAAAATTTTATTAGTGCAAGCAACTGAAAAATCAGCAAATGAGCAGAAAATGAGAAGAAAAGTTGAAGAAAAAATTGAATTACTTGACAATTAGATTAATGTGATGAAAGAAACATTAACAGTAATGAGCGCTTTTCCGATGCTCATATACGTCAGTCATCGGAAATGAATATTGGAAATAAGAATGTTCATGTGTCAAAATACTAGATTTTTTTTACTTGTTTGTTAACAATTAAATTGATCAAAATAAATCATGCTAAGATAGGGTATCGTCATTAGTCGAAAAGATAATATGTAGCACACTTGGACTTACATTCAAAAAATTAGTTTGAATATGCACGGTAGTTAGAAACTATAATCATAGTATAATTTAATATAGATATTATAACTGAGAACGTAGAATTTCTTGAGGAAAATTTCTTTTTTTTTAAAGATGTTACGAAAACAAGATGAGATTAATTTGCCACTGATAATTGAATAAACACATTTCATTGTAATGCGTTGTTCATTTCGAATTCAAGTTGGAAAATAACCATTGATCATATGACACACAAACTTAAACGAAGGTGTATAATTCAGTGTATGACTATTAAAGATGTATGGAACCAAATGTTTTTTTTAGTTGCCATTTCAAGTCCTTCATTTCGCACAGCTCTATCGTTGATATATCAAAAATGAATCAGACATTGTCATTTACAGAAGAAGTCGTCTTGACTTGTGTGTGTACTTACAATGGAGGTGTGTGTATTGTTGAGCGAAAAAGTGGCACATGTTCGGGTCAAGTGAAAGCTCTCAACGCCAAACTAATAAGGTTAAAATATTAGCGGCCGTTGGGTTGCCTAGAGGGAGATATTTAACTTTTAAGTGTAGGTGTAAAAATGAATCAGGAAAGGTTTTCTCCACTATTATAAGGACAAAACATAGTGTTGTTCGGGGCGATTAGGGGGTT